TGGTGCACACCCCTAACCCTAATTTATGGGTAACCTTCCATTCAAAAGAGGGCAATTTTGAAAAAGCCATCATTGAGTGGCTTTTTCTGCATAGTTCATCATTTCTGACCATTCTGAACACATTCCAACCGTCAGAATCATTCCAGAACACCTCTTTTTTCTAACCCTAACGCTACCCTGGTGACACCCATAACCCTAATTTATGCGTAAGCGTCTATAAAAAAGAGGGTGATTTTGAAAAACCCATTCTTGAGTGGCTATTTCTGCCTAGCTCATCATTTCTGACCATTCAAACACATTGCAACTGTCAGAATTATGCCAGGACACTTCGTTTTTCTAACCCTAACCCTACCCTGGTCACACCCTTAAACCTATTTTCTGGGTGAGCTTCCATTCAAAAAAGGGTGATTTTGAAAAAGCAATCCTTGTGTGGCTTTTTCTGCCTAGCTCATCTTTTCTGCCCAATCTAAACCCATTCCAACCATCAGAATCATGCCAGAATCCCTTCTTTTTTCTAACCCTAACCCTAACCTGGTCAAACCCCTAACTCTAATTTATTGGTGAGCTTTCATTCCAAAAAGAGTAATTTTGAAAAAGCCATCCTTGAGTGGATTTTTCTGCATAGCTCATCAGTTCTTACCATTCTAAACACATTCCAACCATAAGGATCATGCCAGGACACCTCTTTTTTCTAACCCCAACCCTATCCTGGTCACACCCCTAACCCTAATTCATGGGTTAGCTTCCTTTCAAAAGAGGGCAATCTTGAAAAAGCCATGCTTGAGTGGCCTTTTCTGCACAGTTCATCATTTGTGACCTTTCTAAAAATATTCCAACCCTCAGAATCATGCCAGGAAACCCCATTTTGCTAACCCTAACCCTAGGCTGGTGCACACCCGTAACCCTAATTTATGCGTAAGCGTCCATGCAAAAGAGGGTGATTTTGAAAAAGCCATCCTTGAGTGGCTTTTTCTGCCTAGCTCATCATTTCTGACCATTCTGAACACATTCCAACCATCAGAATCATGCCAGGACACCTCTGTTTTCTAACCCCAACCCTACCCTGGTCACACCCCTAACCCTAATTTAAGGGGAGGCTTCCTTTCAAAAGAGGGCGATTTTGAAAAAGCCATTGTTGAGTAAATTTTTCTGCACTGCTCTTCATTTCTGACCATTCGAAACACATTCCAACCGTCAGAATCATGCCAGGAAACCCCGTTTTTCTAACTCTAACCCTAGGCTGGTGCACACCCCTAACCCTA